GTTGTTTATAGGGGTACCATCGGTCATCCCCCCAGGGTGCGGTTTTTGTCCAAATCTTTCCAAACCAAGATGGGGGGGGGGAAAAACAGTTCCCTTTTGGGGATTAAAAAACCCTACCGGGGTTTTTGATGCATTATGCATGGTCAATACCGGAACCAATATTTTTTTGACCCATCAGGGCTTAATCCCCCGTTCTCTTTTCTTTTCTTTTTTCTCCTTTCTTTTATATTTTTTCAGGCAAAATATCACTAGGATTTATATTTTTTAATTTACATGCAAATCATCAAGTGTCAATAAAATCACATAGCATGCTTTAAATAAACAACAATTCACTTTATTAGGACTACCAAGCATGGAACATGCAAAACACAAAACATAGAATTCATGATAAATATTTCTAAAAATACTCCTTTAGATGTTTAAAGAAATACTAAATTCTTTACTGAAACCTCAAGATTTTCCTGCACCGTTCTTCTTCTTTTTTTCTCCTTCTCTCTCTAGATCACTCCCTCTCTCTCTAAACTCTTGGAAGATGGAAGAATGGAACAGAAGTGATGAGGAAATGGAAGAAAGGGTCCCTATTTATAAAAAATGGGGACCGTCGAATTTGCGCCAACTGTCGAAATCCAGTGAAGAGAGAGAGAGTTGAGTGGAAGATGATCAATTTGACGCGAAGCGATGGCGGCATGAAAAATGAAGGAAAAATTCCTCCATCGGTGGCAGAACACTGCCCAAGGCAACGCACGATGCCCAAGGGGGCGGCGACATACTGCCCGAGGCTGCAGTGCGCATGTCTTGTGCCTGGCCGCGCGTGCATGCTCACGCACAGCGAGCGATACCCCTCTCTCCCGGGTGTTTTCCCACAGTATTTTTCCCCCTTTCTTTGTTTTCTCGTAAAAATTATTTTTAATAAAAAAATAATAATAATGTATAAAAAAATCAAAATAATAATAAAATAAAAATAATTATAATAGATAAAATTAAATAAAAATAAAAATAAAATAATAAAATAAGCATAAAATTTAAATTACAAATTACGATGTAAAGCTGTGAAATAAATATAAATGAGTTCAGGTGGCCTTAAGGCCCAAATAAATAGGGGTTTTTCAAATATAAATTTAGCGCGGTGGTGAGCGGGGTGTTTCAGTTATTTTTTTTCTTTCTTTTTGTTTGTTCTTATATTTATTTTACAATATTTAGTTTAATTAATTTAAAAAATTTAATATTTTCTAATCAATTTTTAAGTTAATTAATTTGTTAACTTTCTTTCTAATTAATCAATTTTATTACTTTAGTGATTTCAATATTTCCTAATTATTCTTTTTAAATTTAATTTATTTTACTAATTACAAGTTTTAATATATATATATTTAAAATATTTTCCTAATTTACTTTAAATTTCTAAATAATTTCTAATTTCCAAATAAATTATTTTAAATTTAATTTGTTTTACATATTTTTTTAATTTTCTCCCAAATTTCACAAATAAAATTTGAAGTTCAATTTCTAGGCTGTTACATAATTTAATTTTTAATAAATTAATTTAATAATTAAATGTTAAATCTAACAAATTCAGTAGATAAAAATCAGCACAAAAATGCAAATTACACTCACTCACTCTATCTATTTAAAACACCTCTTAATTTTGATTTTTGAAAGAGTTTACCATATGTAAATTAATCTATGAAGGTTATTTGTGTATAATCTAAAATGTAATCCTTCTTATCTGATAAATGCACGAGACAAAAGTTAAATCACATGAAAGAATTGTTGAAATTTTGAAGATTCTTCTCTGCAACTGAGTGTAACTCTGCGTGCAGAGTTGAATGCTACTTTCGACTTATATTTAGATTTGTAATTTGTTTTACTTCTTGAAAATAAATTATAACATTTCTAACATGTTGTCCTAATAATTGACTACGAATTTGTAAAAGAAAAACGAAACAAAAAAGGAATTGGAATAGAAAACAGACACTTACCTGAACATAGTAGTCATTCAGGTGCAGCAGCTACTGTTCTGAGTTATGAGACTTGCAGCAACAATTTAAGAGCTAATCTTCCAAATAATAATGGTCTTAAGACACTAAAGAATTAAAAGGAATAAATTAGAAGAGGAAGAAACGACTCACCTCATCAAGAAGAAGCAATTTCTCCTCTGATATGCAAATAGAACACGCGTTCTATTCTGGTGCATCACTCTCTTTCTCTCTCTCTCTCTACTATTTTATGCTCTCAAACTCCCTTTTCACTCACTTGTTTAACTAGAATTTTTTGTTTGAAAAAGATGAAGATAAAGTTGCGAAGAGAATGAAGCTTTTAACTAAATTTAACCCATCATTTGACCGTCCAAACGCATGCACGGCATCACAGCCATTGATATATTGGATGGTCGACCACAACTGGCAAAGATGGCCAGTTTTCGTGACACCTAGCCAATCATCACAACAGCTCACCATGTGGCTCGGTCCTGGCCACAAGTTGGAACGGTGAGTGATATCAAATCATGGGCAACTAATCTACCCCTAAGTGCTGATCATTTCCAATGGCAAACTTTTCAAATTAATTTCTTTTATTTGTGTTTTATTTTTTTAAAATTTATTTTATTTACACACAAATATATAATATACATATATATATATATATGCATACAATAGTTGAATATAGATGTTTGTATATATTTTATCTTGACATCACTATATTTCTTAGAGGTATATATATACACACAAATACATATATATTTGTCTATTTTCTTATTACATGTACATATCTATATGTATCTAAAATATATATATACACACACAAATACTTATATATATGTTTATTTTCTTATTACATATACATATCTATATGTCTCTAAATATATATTCCTACATATTTGTATAACACTTTTATATATTTTTAAACATATATATATTTTTTTGATTGTCTATTTATGCACACATTTTGCGTGCATTTATTTATACTTAACGTTTAGTTGTACAGGCTATATAAACTAAATAAATTTATATATAGGTTATTATCATATTTATAATTTAATTTTGTTCACCTATATAAATGTATATTTTTTCTAGTTCTTATTATTATTTAATTTATTTAAAGTAATAGCAATATTAAGAAATTATAATTTTCTTCAAAGTACCTTAATTAAGAATACGCCTTTCTTTGAAATTCTATAGATTCATTCTCCTATTTTAAAATAATTGTATTTAAATTGTTAATCCATTTTGATTTCTCTTTATTTAAATTAGAGAATATATTTATTTATTTTATATTAGTAAATAAATCACATGATTAAAATATTTTATTTAACTAAGTATATGGTAGAATACAAGTGACTATTACAAAAGGTATTTTATAATTTTTATTAACAATTTAGATTGCATTTTCGATATTAAATTTTAACCAATTTTTCTATAAATATATGATTTAAACTAAAATATTGCGTTAAAATAACTAATCACATTATTATTAAGGTAAATTTTTCAAAAGAAACAAACAAATGTATCACATTAATTAATAAAAACCAGGTGATAAATGAAAAAAAAAAAACAATGAGAATATAGAGATGGAATAAAAAATTTATCATGTCGATCAAGCATTCATACATAACAAAAAAAATTAATGATCACATTTTTTCATGAAGCCAAGTTTTTTGAACAAATGACTAGTTAGAGAGCCTTGTCGTCCCCCACCTCCATGCCCAAAGCCTTTACAAATGCTGCCGCCAGCACCATAGAGATTTGTGTACTATACAGTGAAGATGGCACGTCAATCCAGATTCCAACTGAAAGTGGTGATCAAGCTCAGGCCGATAATTAAAAAACATGATCATGCAGCCTGGAGTTTATGTATAGTCAACATAAAGTCTGAAAGATGAAACTTTGAATCTACGCAATAATTAAGCTAGAGTGATGATTAGGGCCATGCATTTTGCATATAATAAATGCAGGTGCAGTATTGACAACCCCTAAAATGACACTTGTAGCACCAAAATAGACACAAGAGGTGCATTATGCATTTTGGATCTCTTGTACACACTTTGCAAGTTTTTCGACTTGCCCTTCCTTAATGAACATCATAGTTTATCTTTTAGAAACACATATATACACATTACTTGACATAACATGAAGTGGATTTGCACATAAATATATACATATACAACCAAAATAACGATACAGATTTATCTCTCATAAGGCCAGTTGGGGCACCTCTACCTTTTATTAGCCAAAGGATCATGGTACATCCTGTAATCCCTAGTAGTGCAGTGGCAGAAGCGTCGGTCCTTTTCACACCTTATGCAAGTAATGAACTTGCCCTGATGGAACTACTACTTTTCACTAATGAGCCTTGATTGTTATTTAGGTTTACAAATGTATCACATTAATTAAACTTATAATATAAGTAATAAGTTAAGTTAATGTTACAAAATAAAGTTTGTTACGTATTTTTTATTCTTAAATTACTAATTTGAAATAAAAAATTATTAAGTGATTGTGATCCTCTAAGTTTTGTTTATGTAATTTTTAACAAAAATTAATGGTGTCATACTTGTACGGTAGATAAAAATTAAGTAATAAGTTAAGTTAATGTTACAAAATAAAGTTTGTTACGTATTTTTTATTCTTAAATCACTAATTTGAAATAAAAAATATTAAGTGATTGTGATCCTCTAAGTTTTGTTTATGTAATTTTTAACAAAAATTAATGGTGTCATACTTGTACGGTAGACAAATTTATTTATATTCTGAATGACTTAACACTTAATTATCTAATTTTAATCAATTATCAAGATAATAACTGTACATACATATGTATGTACAATGTGGTAAACAAATGTGAAGAGGGTAGACTTGGTTAAGAGTTATCGAAAAATTGGTCTTCTAAATATAAAAATTACAAAATTAAAAAATATTAGCAGAAAATATTCAAAGCTATTTCCATCTATCTCAATTTCCTTCATTCACTTTTTCTTTATTCTAATAGCACTAATCATCTTCATCCAGAATTTTGAATTCCCATAAAACTTAACTTCTAAAAATTTAAAAAAAAATGTAAAATTGTATAAATTGCTAGAAAATTTTTTAGATTAAAAAGGCCAGAAGGGTTGAGTTTTTGTTGCTTACAATTCAAAAATATATATTACAACAGAATAAACCTTTAACATAATCTCAACAAAATTATTTCGTACTTTTAAAAAAAATGGCTAATAAGTTCTTCTGCACAAAAATTAATTTGGAAAGTAAATTTTATTTGAAATTACTCATTTTGTAATATAATGGCAGCCAGAGAACTAATAAAATTAATGTCACAAAAATTTTATATAAATTAAGTAAAATATCCAATAAGTATAATAAAATTAAGTCCCAAATAGCCATGCATTCTTTATTTGAGAAATCACATTTTAAATAACATCAATTGTTTATTTACTTTAAATAGTTTATGATTCTTTATCTGAGTTCAAAGATTTCATAAGTTTTAGTATAAAATAAGAATTACGTTTTTCATAGCCTGCACAAAATAATCTTAAACATTTATTCTCTTCTGACATTGTAATTGTTCTTCCATTATTAGTTAGTTCTCTTGATTGATACAAGGAAGAAGAATCATGAAAAGTTGGCTACCTTCTCTATGTATTTTACATTATTATCGGCTTATGATTTTATATTACACTA